AACACATAGACAGAAAAACACACAAAATATTAATGTACTATTCAATGAATTATCAAAGCAGCAAAGAAGTCGGGTCAAAAAACAGAGTATCAGAAAATTCCAGAAACTTTCCTCATGCTTCCTCCTACCCACTTTCTCCTTTCCAAAAATTAACATTATAGTTCAGTTTTGCCTGGTCTTGAACTTATATGCACGGAATCATACATAGTATGCTTTCTTTGGTGTCTGCTTCTTTTGTTCAATTATGTGTTTATGATATTTCTCCAGTATACAACTGTAGTTCTTTCATTTGCCTTGTTATATAGATGTCCATCATGTAAATACAATGCAATTTATGAATCCATTCTACTATTGACAGATATTTGGGTTGTTTACAGTTTTTTATTTTTATGAATAATGCTATGTAAATATTTTTATACATGTCTCTTGGTACACATGTGCATGCATTTCTGTTATGTCTATACCTAGGAGTATGGCACTGCCATAGCCATGTCAAGGTCAGTCTAGCTCTTGTGAGGATGAAAGACCACATGGAGAGAGAGGCCAACCAAGTCAGCCAATGTACCAGCTAAATATAGCTGTGTGAATAACCTCCAGCAAGATCAGAAGAACTGCCTGGCCAATCCATATGATTGTGATAAATAATAATTACTGCTGGTTTAAGTCCCTACATTTTGAAGCAGTTTGTTACATGGCAATAAACAACTGAAATATAGAAATTGGTACTAGGGACGGGGTACAGAGAAATTTAAAATACATGGCATTGACTTTGGAACCATACTGTGGGTGGAGGCTGGGAAAATGAAGAGGCTGTTAGTGAGAGCTGAAGGACTGGCAAAAATCTTTTAGGGTAAACAGCTGTGGAACAGTGGCTAAAAATGTTCCCTGTAGTAACTTGAAATATAGATAACACAGTGAATGAACTTGCCTAGCTGGCTGAGATATTTCCAGGCAGAATACTGAGCGTGTCATTTGGCTTCTTAGAGCTGAGTATAAGCAATGGGAAGAGAGAAAGACACTAGAGAACTGTTCAGTTTGTAAGAAGAATTTGGAGGAGATACAGAGAGCCCAGGCTTCCTGGGTTAGAAAATAAAACGGTTCCTTATCCCAGGTTTCTCCAGATGGCAAGAATTTCAAAATAAGAAATGCCCCCACCTTTCTATAATGAGATTAGAGAGGAAATAAAGCAATGAGAGAGAAACTCTCACTTCTGGTATAATAACTTCGATAGAGACAAGCCAGTCTTGCCCTCAGGAAAAAGAGGAAGGTGGGAGGAAGGGGTTGGGTTGGTCAAGAGGGTGGTCTATGAAAGATCTGAGACCATAGACATTGGGCTACTGTGGCGTGTGTTATGTCCTCTCAAGTGAATGAGGTCCCGCTTCCTCAGCTCTCCAGGGCAGAAGACAATCACAGCAGGACATAATTTAGGAAGAGCCATTAATACTGTACTTAATGCCAGCCACATCCACCCCAAGGGGACAAATACTGGTATTAGAAAATAACTGTGAATACCTAGTGTGCCCAGCTACTATAACTTCCCCCTTCCTGCATGCTTATTCATGCATATGGTGCATATGAAAGCAAATATGATCCTCCAGTGGACACTGTTCCCCTAGCCACAGCTGACTGGTCCAAGTGTGGGCACCTGATTACAAAGAATTTAGTGAGTGGGTGCAAATGGTAGGGATAATTTTGGAACAAGAGTGGCTATGAAGTATGGCCATAAACTGATGATTATTACAGATGGGTGTTAGGTACATGGGTGCTCATTGTTAACTATTCTCTCAAAAGAATATTATGAAATTTTGAAATTGTATCTCAAATAAGAATACGATGGAAGTGCTGACTAAGGGTTAAGAACCCTTAGTCTCAAAACACTCAAAATATTTAGGAATTAGTTTAACCAAAGGTACAAGACCTGTACACTGAAAACTATAAAATGTTGTTGAAAACAAGTAAAGATGACCGTAATAAATGGGAAAAACATCCCACATTCATGAATGGGGAAGACTCACTATTACAATGGCAATACTCCTCAAATTAATCTATGAAGTCAGTACAATCCTTATCAAAATTCCAACTGCCTTTCTTTGCATAAACAAACAAGCTGATCCTAAAATTCAATATGGAAATACAAGGGATCCAGAATAGCCAAGACAATTTTTTTTTAAATAAATTTATTTATTTATTTATTTTAATTTTGGCTGTGTTGAGTCTCTGTTGCTGCATGCGGGCTTTCTCTAGTTGTGGAGATACCAGATGACCCAGCGATTCCACTCCTAGGCATATAACTAAGAGAACTGAAGACATGTATTTCCACAAAAACATGTAAACAAATGTTTGTAGCATCATTATTCAAAGAGCCAAAAAATGAGAACTCAAATATACATCAACTGATGAATGGATAAACAAAACATGGTATATCCACACAACAGAATATTACTTAGCAGTAAAGAGGAACGAAGTATTTCATACATGCCACAACATGGATTAACCTTGAAAACATTATGATAAGTGAAATAAGCTAGACGCAAAAGGACAAATAGTGTATGATTTCACTTATATGAAATATCTAAAATAGGCAAATTCATAGCTACAGAAAGGTTATCAGCAGCTAGGAGGGGAGCAGTAGGGAGTTATTGCTTAATGGGTATACAGTTTCTGTTTGGGGTGATGAAAACATTCTGGAATTAGACAGTGGTGACTGTTGCAGACCTTGTGGATATACTAAAAAGCACTGAATTGTACACTTAAAAATGATATTATTGTATGTGAATTATTTCTCAATTAAAAAAAGACCCCTTAGTCTAAAGAGAAATTCTTTGACAAAGTACATGTTATTGAAAGGAAACATTTGAAATACAATACATAATTTGTGAAAATCACACACCTCGTAGTGAGAGAGTAGCATTGACATATATACTCTACCAAATGTAAAATAGCTAGCTAGTGGGAAGCAGCCGCATAGCACAGGGAGATCAGCTCCGTGCTTTGTGACCACCTAGAGGGGTGGGATAGGGCGGGTGGGAGGGACATACAAGAGGGAGGGGATATGGGGATATATGTATGCATATGGCTGATTCACTTTGTTGCACAGCAGAAACTAAAACAACATTGTAAAGCAATTATACTCCAATAAAGATGTATAAAAAAAAGAAAAATCACACACCTAGTTATGATTTCAAAACATTCCTTAGTTTAAAAGACAATTATAAATACACAGCATTAAGTCCTTCTGAAGCCTATATTTATTATACTTATATATTTATACATATTATATTTCATAGGTTTCTGCTTCATGGAATAAAATCTGAGCAAAAGAAAGTAACTTCCACTAGGTAATGTAACGCACAGAAATGTTTAAGTTTCTAACTTAGGAAACTACAGTATTGGTCATGTGTTTGCAAATCAATTTACCAAATGTATAGATCACGGCTCAGTTACAGAAGGCATCATAATGCAGTTACTCCAGGCCTGGAAGTCAAATGATCAGAGTTGCTGTCCTTGCTCTATCACTTAGCTTGTTTCTACTTCTTCCTGTGCAATTGAGATGTTTGGAATTGAGGTTCCTTCCAGCTTTAAAATTTTAAACTTATTTGATCGTATTGTGGCTTTATAGTCAAAAGAATTTTGAAATTGTTTTACTTGCTTGGACTGCATTTAAACATTCACCTTTTAAAATTTAATAATGACTGGACCGTAAGATTTGAAAAGGATTAAATTGTCTACTCCACTTTTAATCAATTAGACCAACTGATCTCATTCTGCTGAGAATTAGCCTGAAGCAATACCACCATCTGGTGGTTTCTCTTCAAATATAACAACTTTCTTGAAGAAGAGAGCTTGGCCTCGCCTATCAAATAGGACAGGTGGTTCCGATATGCCTAGTTTAGGAAACAAGTTTAATAATATTGAATAATACATGTTTAAGTTAACTAATGTTTATGTTACTGGCCTTAAAAACGTATAATTCAACACATTCTCTTAAATATTTGTTTAGTGCCCAAGTATAAGAACAAAACAGTGAACAAAATAAAAATACTTGCATTCATAGATGTTACATTCTAGTGAGAGGCAGTAGACAATAAATAAGCATAATAAGTAAACTATGTTTAGTGGTACCTTCTACTAAAAAATCAGGATAAGGGGGATGTAGAGTAGGTTGCAATTTTAAATATTAATAACACTTGAGCAAAGACTTTAAAGAGGTGAGGTCAATTCCAAATGTTTGTCTGAAGAATAAAATTCCACAGACTTATAAACTAAATGTTTACCTTTAATTTTAGCACGCTGCTATACTTGTTTCCTCAAACGTTTCTATTTGGTAAGCAGGAACTGTAAAACCAGGTCAACAGTAACAGGAATGACCGCATTTTGAAAAATGATGTTGCCTTCAAAATACGTACCTTTCCTATAGAGTAATGACTGCCTTTAGCTAGCATCGGAGAAGGTACAGGTAGACGAAAGGAGGGAGGGACGCTAACGCTGACCCTGCAGGACACTGCGACGCCAAAAATCTCGTTGGCGGCCTCAGTTTAGGCGGCTGCGCATTGGTGGCGCGGGGCTCTTCCTATTAGTATAAGGTAGCCCTCTTTCCTAGTCGGAGGAAGGAGCCAGGGGAAAATCCGGTCAACGCCCGCTGGGCGCTTCAGGACCAGCAATTTCTGCGACGCCGCAAGCTGCGCCCGCTTCCAGTCAGGCTGCCGCATGGAGGCCCGACGCGCATTCCCGGTTGGCGGATTCACCACTTCTTGGTGTCAGAATTTAAAATGAAAATTCGAACTTCCCTATTTCGGAAGCCTTTCCTGCCCAAGAAAACAGAAGCAGGGGAGACTTGGAGTCCTTGAGTTTTTTTTTTTTTTTTTCCCTTGCATCTTCCGCAGTATCTACACCCTGCGCGCCGGGGACTTGCGTCGAAAGTGACGGCGCGGACGCTCAGGCCGCCGTTCCCGGCGCGCAGTCGCGGCGGCCTCGCTCCCGCCCCCGCCGGGAGGTCCGACGTGGAAGTTGCTGGCTGACCAGGCTTCCAAGGAAAGCCCCTGGGAACCAGAGCCCGAGGCCGAGCCGGAGCCGGAGCCGGAGCGCAGGCCTAGGCGAGAGGAGGTGGCGGCGCCGAGGCTCGATTAGGAGTCGCTGCCGAGGCCGGGCCCAGTCTCTGCCGGTCGACGAGGGAGGACAGGCAGTTCATCATGGGTGAGGGATCTGAGAAGGGAGAAGGGAGCCGGTTCGCTCAGGTTTCTTGGGTGGAGGATGAGTTTCTGGATTCTCTCTCCCTGATCGCTGGGACTGCGTCAGTTTAAACTCCGAAAGAGGGTGGTGCTCGTAATGTTTTATGGCCAACTTGGCGTTTGTCTGCTTACCTGTATCTTTTCCTGTAGATAAGGTGGAGAAGGAAATGGGCAGGGAGTGTATTACTAGTCAGCGAAGACATTTTAATCTCAATTTTTGGAGTGCTAATTGAGGGAACTACGTTGTCATCACAAGCATCAGGTAGAGCTTCCCTCCCCGCTAGAGCCCAAATGAAGGTGCAGATTTCTTAACTTGTTTACAACCCTCCAAATGATGCAGATTCTTTGCCTTATTTAAATACCTCAGCGATTTTCTGGGGAGTTTACTTCTTGGTCTGGAACGTCAGAAGCGCTTTCTTGTCTTTTTGCGTAACCCCTTCAGTTTTATTCTTCTGCATCTTTTTAACCTGTAAAAGGTAGAAAGGATTTTGTCAAGTCACACCCCTTGTGTTACAAATGTTCAAGGTTCTCTAACCCATAGTGGATTCATTTTTCCAGACTTGCAGCTCTTAATTTTGCCATGTCTTGGTAAAAATAACCAGGTATTGTGTGTGGCATCAGTGATTGAAGGTACTTACGATGGTACTGCTGCTGTACAACAGTAATTGCTTTTCATGTTCAAGGACCTCATTGTCCCACTGTCATTCTGATTTGCCCTTTGGTTTCTGGGGGTAGTGAGGAGATCATGCTAAGGTATCCATATTCTGTCGATTAGAAAGTGAGCTCCATGAGGGCAGTGGTCCTGTTTCTCTTATTTTTGAGTGTATCTTCTGTGCCTTCCTGACACAGTATCCAGGACATGGTAACAATCAGTAATTACTAGTTTGATGTTGAATAATGTATTTCATTGGAAGCAAAAATATGCACCTATGAATCAAGAAAAATATTACAGTATTATTTAATTTGCTGTAGCTTTCAACGGGTTAGATTAAATGTTTTGTGGGCCTAGTTCATGAAATGATTTTGAAATACATCTTTGTTATTTTTTAAGGTGGCTTTTTCTCAAGCATTTTTTCCAGTCTGTTTGGAACCCGGGAAATGAGGATTTTAATTTTGGGATTAGATGGAGCAGGAAAAACTACAATTTTGTACAGATTACAGGTTGGAGAAGTCGTTACTACTATTCCTAGTAAGTGTTGGTATGATAAACTAATTATAGGGCCTTTCTCTTTCCATCAAACATAACTTTATTTCTGAATAAATATATAATGTAATTGATAAGGTTCGTAAACTTCTACTATGAGCATGATATTTATAACACTTTTTTTCATAAATTTACAGACAATTTGGTGTAATTTATGAACCCCTGTGCATGGCTGGGCTCTGCTGTTTAGGGCTGTTTTAAAAGTTGGGTAGAGTTAAGCCACCTCATCTAATTGAGAGCCAGTATCTTTGTTGATAAAATGAAGATAATAACTATACATTGGCTTTGACGGGAAAATAAATCTAGTATATAATATAAAATACTTTGTAAACCTGTGTAAAGAATTATATAGATATGAAGTGATATTATTACATGTGAAGTGGGTTTTTTTCTGTATTTGTTACTATTTGATTAAGATTAGTTTCTCTTTGGTAATTCTATTGATTATTTTTAAAGATCTGAGTTGAAGAGACTGAGTGTTGAATCTGGTACTTAAAAATATCAAGAAAAGAAACACCTTGACTTTAAATCAATTGATATCTTAGAAGAATATTCTCCAACAGTCTTAATTTACTACATAAGAAGACTGTTCTGTTACTTATGCTATTTTCATTTGATGCCCTGAATTTACTTAGATTAGTAAGATTAGTACATTTAAACTAATAGTTTGTAGAGTTTGCTCAAGAATATTTAAATTATGCCTTTAAAGTTACTCTGTCACTCAAGGTATTTCTATATTTAGTACTATTTAAATTTCCAGATTAAAAAAAAAAGTGTAGCTTTTATGAAAGAAGAACTTTTCAAACCCTGTGGCATCTGTTACTTCTTTATGCCACCTTCAGTAAATTTCAGTTTCCTTGGTTTTTGCTTCTCAAAATCACCCAACTCAATCTGCTACAGTTGAGTCACGGGTGGCCCCTGCAATACACATAGCCCAGTGGATTGCGTTTCAGCAAATGTGGTTCATACCATGCCCTTGTCCTTTGCAAATAAACAACATTCCTAACTGAGGCTGAAGGCAGTGATTACCCTGCTACTTAATTCTAAGGGAGACATCATGAACTTGCTTTTTAGTTTTTCACTCAGGTTTGCTATAGTAGTTTTTTTATACTTGCCATATACTCATAATCATCACTTACCAGTATAAACTTAAATTTAAAAAATTAATTGTCCAGTTATAGCTGTTAAGTCATTTTTTACTTTGATTTTTTTTTAAGTTTGTGAAATCTTAGTAATATTTGTATATGTAGCTCCTAAGTTTTTTTCAGTAACCTCTCCACCTCCTTCGGATTCCTTTCAATGGAAGATAGTAATATCTTGCCTTAGGCATGTGATGCGAGAGCTCCAGCTAAGAAGGATGGCAGGGAAAAGGGATGGGACTCCTCCCCTTTGACCGTCTCGCTATGACCGTATTACAAATGAGCTCTTGAGGAAGTCTTCAGAGGGTCTGTGAGATTGCCAGCCTTAGAGAGCTCAGCTTCCATAAAGAGGTATACAGCCATTGCTGTGCCCTTACCTACTGAAGTTTAGAGTCTATCTAGGCTTTCTTGGTTTTGTTCCCTGTTTATTTGCAACCTACCAAAATTCCATTTTTTGTAATACATCTGCAACTGTCCTTTCTAAATATAACTTTCTGAACACTTTTGTATGCCAGTACTGTATTTTGAAGGGAGTTTAACACAATAGGGTTTCCACTGAGCTAAGAATTATATAATTGCAGAGGTAGCTGGGGGTTCTTATATACCCTGAAAGTGGTGTTGATCTTGCTAATTGGTGTGCATATGTGTGCATGTGTAGCACAGCATACTGTCTTGTCTTAAATGGGATGATATTTGAACTAACAATGTGATTCATTAATTACCATTAATTGCTGAAAGTCAGATTGGATACTTTGAAGACGGAATGTATTGGTCTACATATACTGCCAATTTGATTTCTTTTCCAGCCATTGGATTTAATGTTGAGACGGTAACATACAAGAACCTAAAATTCCAAGTCTGGGATTTAGGAGGACAGACAAGTATCAGGTATGGTGCAAAGGCCAGATCATTTTGTAGTATTGAATCTTTCTTTATTGGCTTCTCTAGGGTTAACAGGAGTAAACCAAAGTATGTCTTCTTTTGTAATTTAATGGGAGACACCTAGTTTAAAATGAGGTAAAATGGCCTTATTCTCTCAATTAAAATCTGAGAATTAAAGATTTTAACTAAAGAATTAAAATCTAAGGAAGCCAGTTTTTCAGATTATCACTTCAATGAAAAATCTTTTCATGAAAATCTCAAGACCTCATTACTTCAGTAGTTTTTAAATAAAAAGGGTCCTCTAGTTAGTTCTTGTCAGTCCCTTCCTCTGTGAGACAGACTGTTTTGGATTTCGTAAAAATACCTTTTGGGCCCACCATTTAGGACTAATGTGAACATAAATGCCCTTTGGAATTCAAGTCTCCTGCCCAGCATTCTGTGCTTGACATGGCAACTGTGAATGTTTAGTGACTGTCACTGCTCACTCACTAGGGTACTTACCATCTTAAAAGATCAGTAGTGCATTCCCCAGACATCCTGCTGCCCTGTAACTCATTTTATTTCTTGAACCACTTTTGAGTCAGTTTCTTATTTTAGCCATTTCTACTTTGTGTCTTCAGTGATCAGTTTAATGTCTGTTACATAAAATCATACTAAAATTTTTTTTTAAAGAACTCATTCCTCTTAAGGAGTTTCTAGTTAAGATGTAACAATCAGGTCTGTGTGGAACTTTTTTTATCGGTACATTTAGTGATTTTATAGATTATAAATATATTCTCTCAGCCTAAAGTCTGAACTCATTCTGAAGCTCCTTGGTCCTGTGATTTATGTTTATCAATATTCTTTCCAGCCCGTCCCATCTGAGGGATATGATATATGTCCATCAGAAACAATGAATCATTATGGCATTGATTCTGGCATGGATGGGGAAGGATTGGCAAGTAATACCCCCCACCCCATCATTGCCAAGTCCTAGCATATGAATTAACATACCAGTTTCTTCTTCTTTCAAATAATAATATATTCTCCCTTTCTGAATTTTCTTCAGGCCATACTGGAGATGTTATTATTCAAACACAGATGCAGTCATTTATGTAGTAGACAGTTGTGACCGAGACCGAATTGGCATTTCCAAATCAGAGTTAGTTGCCATGTTGGAGGTAAGAAAACTTTATTAAAATGTGGGTAAATCATTTGTATTTGCTTGCTGTTTTTTTGTTTTAACCTTACGTTTGGTAGTGTATATATGTCCATGCCTCTCTCTCACTTTGTCACAGCTTACCCTTCCCCCTCCCCATATCCTCAAGTCCATTCTCTAGTAGGTCTGTGTCTTTATTCCTGTCTTACCCCTAGGTTTTTCATGACATTTTTTTTCTTAAATTCCATATATATGTGTTAGCATATGGTATTTGTCTTTCTCTTTCTGACTCACTTCACTCTGTATGACAGACTCTAGGTCTATCCACCTCACTACAAATAACTCAATTTCGTTTCTTTTTATGGCTGAGTAATATTCCATTGTATATATGTGCCACATCTTCTTTATCCATTCATCCAATGATGGACACTTAGGTTGTTTCCATCTCCGGGCTATTGTAAATAGAGCCGCAATGAACATTTTGGTACATGACTCTTTTTGAATTTTGGTTTTCTCAGGGTATATGCCCAGTAGTGGGATTGCTGGGTCATATGGTAGTTCTATTTGTAGTTTTTTAAGGAACCTCCATACTGTTTGCCATAGTGGCTGTACCATTAATGTTTTAAAATTTTTTTTGAGGGACTTCCCTGGTGGCGCAGTGGTTAAGAATCTGCCTGCTAATGCAGGGGACATGGGTTCAAGCCCTGGTCCAGGAAGATCCCACATGCCGCAGAGCAACTAAGCCTGTGCACCACAAATACCGAGCCTGTGCTCTACAGCCTGTGAGCCACAACTACTGAGCCCACGTGCCACAACTACTGAAGCCTGTGTGCCTAGGGCCCATGCTCCACAACAAGAGAAGCCACTGCAATGAGAAGCCCGGGCACCACAATGAAGAGTAGCCCCTGCTCGCTACAACTAGAGAAAGGCCGCGCACAGCAATGAAGCCCCAATGCAGCCAAAAATAAATTAATTAATTAAAAAAAATTTTTTTTTGATAGTTTGGAAAAACATCCACAATTTAATGTTTATTTTTTAAAACAGGGTATGGAACTGTATTTAAATGTGATCTTAAATGTATATATATACTAAATAAACTATAAGTATCTGAATTACAAAGCAGTAGAAAATACCCAAAATGTTAAACAGTGATCCTGTTTAGGAGATAGGATTATGGGTGAAGTTTCTTTTCTTCATACTTCTCTATAATTTCAAATAATTTATAATGAACATTGTATATTAATAATTAGGAAATATGCTTTTAAAATAATGGATTTTTTTTTGGCATTTCTTCCTGAACTCAAGGGAGCAAATTGATTAGAAGAAATCAAACCTTTTCTATGTTATTTAGGAAGAAGAGCTGAGAAAAGCCATTTTAGTGGTGTTTGCAAATAAGCAGGACATGGAACAGGCCATGACTCCCTCGGAGATGGCAAATTCACTTGGGTTACCTGCCTTGAAGGACCGAAAATGGCAAATATTCAAAACTTCAGCAACCAAAGGCACTGGCCTTGATGAGGCAATGGAATGGTAAGTATGTTTCCAGAAGCCATCTGTGCATTTGTGTGTACATGCAGCTGTGTACATACATGTGTCATTTCCCTTTGGTCTTAAGGATGAGATTCAGATTATTTATCAGTTTATCATATTGTTCCTCCACCCTTTTCTTCCACTTGTCTTCATGTACATCTGCTTTTATTTCAACCACACCTTCTAATTATAGTTAGACAAGCCACCAGCTCTCTGCTGTGTTTCTAGCTTTTTCCCCTACCTCACCGCACCCTCCAATTCCTTATCCTTCAGGACTTAGGTTAAGGCTCTGTGTTTCTCAAGAGCCTTCCCTGACATAACTTCATGCCCACTGCCTTACCACACACATAGAGGTCCTTGTCACAGGTCAGTGATAGCGTAGTACTTGTTACACTGTCTTGTAGTTGGTTTGTGCATCTGCTCATTAAATTGTCATCTCCTTGAAGACTGAGACTAGTTTTCATCTCTGAATTATCCACATCTGGCCTGGCTGTAGTAGTAGCAGCCTGGAAAGTGGATATCTGGTGTTTTTTGATTATTTATTTATTTATTATTTTAAAAACTATTTATTTATTTATTTTTGTCTGCATTGTGTCTTTGTTGCTGCACGTGGGCTTTCTCTAGTTGTGGTGAGCGGGGGCTACTGTTTGTTGTAGTGCATGGGCTTCTTATTTGCAGTGGCTTCCCGTGGAGCACAGGCTCTAGGCACATGGGCTTCAGTAGTTGCAGCATCAGTAGTTGCGGCGCGTGGGGTCAGTTGTTGCGGCATGTGGGCTTTAGAGCGCAGGCTCAGTAGATGTGGCTCATGGGCTTAGTCGCTCTGTGGCATGTGGGATCTTCCTGGACCCGAGATTGAACCCGTGTCCCCTGCACTGGCAGGCACATTCTTAACCACTGCCCCACCAGGGAAGTCTCTGGTCTTTTTTGATTATTCATTCAAAGCATAGAGAAAGTGAAAGCTAAAAGACCCTCATGGAAATTGAGTCCATAACCTCATTCTTTTAATATAACTGTCTTAGCCTTCATCATTTAAAGTGCTTTGGAATCCACCTCCAGTATAAAATTTATATAATAAATGATCTGTACCTGAAAGTTTGAAGTTAATCTTATGAAACTGTTCATTTTCTCTTCACAGGTTAGTTGAAACGTTAAAGAGCAGACAGTAATTCAGTCACTTCTGCTCCTTTGAAACGAAGACCACATCACATATCCCTTGGGAACAGTTAAAGTGTGCTTCACACTACTAAATGTTAAAACTGTATGATTGTCAGCATATACCAAACTGACTGCAACATTTGTAATAAGTATTAAAAATAAGTATTTGGTTGGAAGGGTAACTCATTGTGATTGAATCAACTGAATGTGTGTTCTGTATAATGTAAAATATTCCTTCCTTATTATCTTGTGTTAAGGTATATATTCTATTTGTATGGAAGTATTATTCAGATATAGTCCTATTAAAGAATGTACTCTTATTGAGGAAAAAGCCCTCCGATTTTAAATTAGTGGTTGCAGCTTGTTTGTATTAACACTAAAAAATATCTTAACTCAGATTTCTTTCCCCCTAAAATGAATTAAGTTTTTCCAAAGATTAGGCTCAATAGAGTAGGCTAGGAAACTCGCGTGGGTTAATTATAGCCTTCATTTGCTTAATGACCACTTTAAGCTGTTTCATTTAAAAGCTTTTGGTTATAGGTGTGAAGTTGAAGTAATTATTTTGGTGGCTATCTTCACTGACTTATCTGTAATTATCATTTTATAGTATTTATAGTTGTTGGGAAATTTTTACAGATTTGGGCCTTCCTAGTTAGTTTGTACAGGAACCCTGTGAGGTAGCTAGGACATCATTTTTACATCTTCATTTTTATGGACATGGACCCAAAATTCTGATAGACTGGCTTGACCAGTGTCACCTGCTAGGGAGGTGGGAAGAGGGCTTAAAGTGAGACTTCACAGGGTCAGAAGCTTGTCCCATAAACTATACCATAAATTCCTGAAAATGCCAACATTGACAACACAGCTTAACTCCTTATATAAAATTAAGCTAATTGAAGTAGATAGACACATTACAATCAAAATAATGTCTATAAATTTATTTGTCCTTACTAGTAGAGGTATAGTAAAAGCAATCCCCAATGGTTATATTTGTTGGAGTTCACAACACATTAAAGAAAATTTCACATGAAAGGAAAGTTTTTACAAAGATCTATTTTAAGAAGCATTGTAAAAGATGTTTTTGCTGCCTTTGATTCCTTTTATCTACCTGTAATTGGACATGTACATTTGACTGGTGAAAAGTCAAAATCTTACTGATTCTACAGGGAGAATTAAGTATTCCTTTAAAAATTAGGCTTACTGCTGCTAGGCTGTCAAAAACAATTATATTCTAAGGGACTTTTTAAAGGAACTTTACAAACAACCCAGTCTACAGTATGACAGAAGTAAATAAGAGTCCTTAGTAATTATTAAAATTGGGAGCAATTTTTTCATTTTTTTAGTTGGACAAGCATTTAAAAAATTAGATGCCAGTAAAGAGAACTTAATACCTTTGTGCCCCTCAGGTCTCAGGAAAGCTAGTGGTCATTCAGCTCACATGAATGTGACTTTCTTTTCTAATCTGTGGGACTTTTCTTATTCTCTAGCACCCATTCCTAATTTGATTTCTTGGAAATCTTTTGGAGACCTTCTTCCCGGGACAGGTGTTCCCAGTGCACCTAATATTACTAACTGAGCGTATAACTAACATTGTTTCATAGTTTCCAAGGCTCTCCTGATAGGCAGACTGTCTTTTTCATGTTTGTATCCCTAGCATCCAGTATGGTGCTTGGCACATTACGGCACCTCAGAATATGCTCATGGTTCAAATAGTATATATGCTTTTATATCTGTCAGCTAGCAAGTAGTACATCTGCAGTTTATACTTGGGTCTGGTCAGTGGCACATGTAACGAGTGCTGGGCTTGTACCCAGATGGCTAAATACTCCCCAGTGGTTCAGGAACACTGTGAAAGTAGAAGTCAGTGGAGGGGCGGCCCTGGCAGGCAAATGCTGCCTGACATATAGCCCTGGTAGCAAAGACCAGCACTTGGATGATCCTGAGCCCTCTGGTTTGTCACAAAGAATAGGATGGGATAAATAGAGCATACACTTAGTATAATATGGTATGAATTATAAGGTCCTTATCTAGCAGGAAACAACTGTACAGGTATGTTACAGGCGTTTGAAAGTTCTCATTTATAAAAATCTACCGAGTATTGTTTTGTGAGAAGCCTGAAAATGAAAGAAACACCAAACTTGAAATCAGAACACGAGTTCTAGGCACAAAGGGCCACACAGTCCATCAGTTTTTGTTTGTTTGGTTTTTCTTTCTGAACAAATAACGTCAAAGTTTTCTTTTAGCTTTAACGTTCTATTTTGTAATTCTGGTTGGTAGTTGAGCTGTGTCATGTGATTAAATTTTTAAAAATGAGAAATTGAGGTGGAATTCTATTACCAGAATACCTGAGATGCACTTTAAATTGTGGAAATGTAAGCTCCTTGAGGGCAGGGACCATACATCATTTACTGTTAGAATCCCTTGCATCTAGTATGGTGCACTTGGCACATACTAGGCACTCAATAAATATTTACTGATTAAAACAAAGCTGTGCTCAATATACTTGAGATACTTATTCTTCCTGATTTTTGCTTTAGTATTAACTTTTGTCTTCTGATTTAAAAATTTTTATTAAAGCAATACATGCACTTGAAATCACTTAGAATTGAGTCTGCCTTCCAAGATGCCCTATGTTTATCCTTTTGGCACATGACAAACACCTTAGAAGTGTGAGAACTCTTGTTTGATATATAAACTACATCAAAACAAATTCTGAAGTTCATGAATGTTTGAACATTTGATTCCTATGCCTTATGCTATAATATTTCCAATCCCATAATTACAAATTACAAAGAGCATGGGATTTCAATCCTGGGTTTGAATCTTAACTCTGCCACCTACAACCTGTGTCACCCTTAGGTAGATTATTTAATCCGAGATGAGATTCCTCATCTGTAAAATAATGAGTTTTAGGAAGCTCTCAGGAAGACTATGAGAATTAAATAAAATGTAAAGCGTAGGATAGATTCTTTCTCCCCCCTCCCTTCCAAATATATTGGGCACTAAAGAATATTGCTTCTACATCAAGTGTACAGAGAGGCAAAAGATATGGTTGAACAAGATAATGCCAGATTGTTTTCCAAAGTGGTTTATAAGAGTGCCCATTCCTCCACCATGCTTGCCAACATTTGGTATTGTCAGCTTTATAAATCTGAAGGGTTCAAAATGGAATTTCATTCTGATGTTAATCTGCATTTTCCTAATTATTAATGAGGCTAAATACAGGAGGAGTGACTCAAAAAAAAATTTAACAATTAGACACAGCTGATGCAGGAGGACCCCTACTAGTCCAGGTATTAGTCCTTTAACTTCTGGTGTGGGGAGATGTGGAGTCTAGGGACTCATATAGCCAGGGTGGCACTTGGGGGTCTCAAGATAGTGACTACTTACCAGTACATAAGTACTTTAATATTGGTATAGCCATATTTGCTGAGGTTTAAGGGCCATTTATATTTCCTCTGCAATGCCTATTTCTCTCTTTTGCCACTTTTCCCTACTGTATTATCTTTGTTGATTCATAGGTATTCATTATATAGCCTGGGTGCTACTAATCCTTTATCAGTATATGGTACATACTATGTCCCAGTTGCATCTTTTTGTAAGTAGACGGTCTTAATTTTAATGAAGTAGAATTTATCACATTGTCCCTCCACAGACAGCACTTTTGGTCTTATTTTTCATATGTGAGAGGGCAAGCCCCTAACCCTATTCTTTTTTAAAAGCATCATGGCTATTCTCGATTTACTATCTTCCATATAAAGTTTAGAATCAGCTTGTTGGGATAATATGAAGAACTTAGGGATTTTGCTCAGATATGCATTTACCCAGTGGGATCCAACTGGGGATGAACTAGCAACTTAGGATACTGAATCTTCCTACTCATGGGCATGGTTATACTTCTCCATTTGTGCAGATCTTTCTTAATGCCTTTTGATAAAGTTTTATAATTTCCTCCATACAGGTACTGCAAATCATTTGTTTGATTTATTCCTAACTTCTATGTGTTGCCTTGCTATTTTAATGTGTATTTTTAAAAAGAAAAATACATTTTAAGCTCTTTATCACTAGTGTCAAATGCTTTTTAGACAGTGAAGATAGAGTAGTGGTATGAAATATTTTAATTAAAAATAAGCATGAATTATATTAAACTGTATAATATACAACCTGTGCCAAAGTTTAAATTAAATAATAAAACCTATGATTTTGGACCAGCAGATACACTAGAAAGTTCATGTTTCGGGGTAAGTTGGGACACTATTAGCACAGGGAGCACTTTACTACACCATTGCTAAATCTTTCAGGCTGTGGCTCTTTTGTCTCTTGGCCTTATAGCCTGGACGCAGGAACTCGATCTTTCTCTTCTTTGCTTCCTTTTTATTTTTGTGTTTCTTCAGCTTTTTCTTGGCAGCGATATCAGGATTAGTTACAAACTTGAAAAAAGAATAGAAATGTTATGCTACTTTTAAAGTAAATGTTAAACCAATAAAAATCAAATGCAGAAATGGACCATTTTGTTCACCTTAAACATCACAAATGCAGTACATGCCCATTAAAGAAAATCTGGAGCCCCAGTTATAAAGTCCCATTTCTCAAATACATCCAATTCCTCTTTCCTCCCTGGGTAAGTCTGACACACATGCATGCACACACCCCTGGTTAAAAATAGTTAAGCCTAATGAACATGCCATTTTTTCAAAGAGCAGGCCTACCTCCAAAGCCTTCCTCTTTTTCCGGAGTGCCCTTTTCTCAGTAGCCTGCTTCTGTACAGAGGCAAACGCTAAGGAGAAGCTCTCGAGCCCAACCAGCTTTTTCAGTAATTCTATGATTTCCTGGGATAGATTCTTCAGCGAAGGATCTAATCACACACGCAATAATAATCAGAAACATGTAGGAAAGGACACATTTGAATATGTACAAAATTAACAACACGCAAAATTTAAACTCCTGAGGCTTTATCACTTCAACATTAAACACTGATCTAAAACTAGCCTCTTTGTTTCTGAGATGGGAGAACAAGCAGAAGTGCTGGACACAGCACTCTGAGCCACACCTCATCCAGGATGCAGCAAGCGATCAGAGACCATGAAGCAACTTCCCAAGGGAATCCCGGCTCAGAAGACAGCAAAGTAATTTGAGAACTTGACAAATGTTTTGGGTTACCTTTATTAACCTGCTCAGCTCTCTGCAGATGGGGGCAAAGAAAGGTAATTGTGTTTCTCTAATTCCCGGGTCATAGAGGCTTGGCTCTGGCTGTAACCTCTTTTTTTTGGATCAAAGACTCCTTTGAGAAGCTGACAAAAAGCCATATTCTCCCACCCTTCTCTGCCTCCT